TGAGAGTTGCTATTGAGCCTTCTGATCCAGCTGATTCTGGTGCTCTGATGAAAGGTTTAAAGCTTCTGAACCGGGCTGATCCATTTGTGGAGGTTACTGTTTCCTCTAGAGGGGAACATGTTCTGGCTGCTGCTGGAGAAGTTCATCTGGAAAGGTGCATTAAGGATTTGAAAGAGAGGTTTGCAAAAGTGAGCCTGGAAGTCTCTCCACCTCTTGTGTCCTATAGGGAGACTATTGAGGGAGAAGCGTCCAATATGTTGGATAACCTGAAATCATCAACTAGAAGCTCAGATTATGTTGAGAAGATGACACCAAATGGAAGATGTGTTGTTCGTGTGCAGGTCATGAAACTTCCATCTGCACTAACCATGGTGCTTGATAAAAGCACTGATCTACTAGGAGATATTATCGGTGGCAAGCTGGGGCAGTCAGCTAGCAACTTGGAAACAGAGAGATCAAACATTGTGCAAGATGAGAGTCCGGTTGAAGTTCTAAAAAAACGCATAATGGGTGCTGTGGAGAGTGACATTTTGTCATTGAGTAAGAAGGACAAGGATCGGGCTGAAAAGTACAAACTTAAGTGGCAAAAGTTTCTAAAGAGGATCTGGGCACTTGGACCGAGACAGGTTGGCCCTAACATCCTCTTCACTCCTGATTCCAAAAGCTTGAGCAATGATTCCTCTGCTCTTGTACGGGGTTCCCCTCACGTTTCTGAAAGGTTGGGGCTGGTGGAATGTTCGGGTAATGGTGAAATGCCTGCTGACACATCCTCAGAAGAGCTCATTGCATTATACAGGGAAGCAGAGAGTCTTCAGAACAGTGTAGTGTCTGGATTTCAACTAGCAACAGCAGCTGGCCCCTTATGTGATGAACCAATGTGGGGATTGGCTTTTGTTGTTGAGGCCTGCATAAATCCTTTGGCTGAGAAATTTGACGATTCCGAGTCTAATCAACAATCTGAGCAGTATGCGATCTTCACTGGACAGGTAATGACGGCTGTGAAAGATGCATGCAGAGCAGCTGTGCTTCAGAAGAAACCTCGGCTTGTTGAAGCAATGTATTTTTGTGAGTTGAACACCCCACCTGAATATCTGGGCTCCATGTATGCTGTGCTTAATCAGAAACGAGCACAGGTCTTAAATGAGGAAATGCAGGAAGGATTTGCACTTTTCTCGGTTCAAGCATACGTCCCAGTTTCTGAAAGCTTTGGTTTTGCTGAAGATCTTAGAAGAAAGACTGCGGGTGCTGCAAGTGCTCTTCTTGTACTGAGTCACTGGGAAGAACTTTCCGAGGATCCTTTCTTTGTACCTAAAACAGAAGAGGAGATTGAAGAGTTTGGAGATGGTTCTAGTGTTCTTCCTAACACAGCAAGAAAGCTCATTGATGCCGTGAGGCGGCGGAAGGGCCTTCCTGTGGAGGAAAAGGTAGTCCAGTTTGCAACTAAACAGAGGACCCGTGCTCGTAAAGTGTAGAATTTGTTAACCAAATATTTTCACAAGCTTGTAACAGATAGACAGGCATTTTGCATTCTTTGGTGGGCACTCTTTCCTTTAATAAAATTTATCCTTTTTTAGCATAAAAATTATAGAATCTTGTCACTGGCTTTCTCCCATCTATCCCTGGTTTGTGCAGATCAATACTCTCTTCGTTGGAAGTCCACGAACCCCCACAAAATAAATCCTCAATACAGCATAGGGGATTTTATGATGTTTGAGAAATGTTGCAAGTCGCGTGTTACAAGTTGCAAGGACAATAAATAAAGATAATAGATGCAAGAAATATGGAAAAGAATATTTTTTTTCTCTCAATGAGTTCAATTGCTTACATGTTGACCCACGAGTGTTTATATCTCTAGATTACGACAACTTGAAGGGAATAGACGAGAAATTTGATTAAGAGGTGTTTGGCATTAAGGATACATTTATTTTTCATTAAAATTTGATTTTTTTAAATTAATTTTTTTAGTGTTTTTTATTACTGATATTAAAAATAAATTTTAAAAAATAAAAAATATATTTTAATATATTTTCAAATAAAAAATATTTTGAAAACAATTATCTACCTTACACTTTAAAAACCATTATGTGAGATAATAACCCTAAATTATTAAAATGAAGTGGGCTATGCCTTAACGTCATCTTTTAAATCTAGTTATGACCTAACATTAAATGTTAAATTAACAGAAACTAAATCATAGCGGTGCTATGTATTAGGTTTAAATTATTGTAGATTATAATATTGGATTTATGTTTATTCCTTAAAAAAACTCACTGAACTTGCTTATAAGTATAAATTTGTGCTTTCACGAGATTTATTTGTTATTTTAGATTGTTGAGAAGCATTTTTATTATTTCTTAATTTTTTTTTAATTTTTTAAGCATGGTGTAATGACCATATTATTTTAAAATTAAAGTTCTCAAAACATCTTTGCAAGGGTGAATTTATCATTTCATAATGGTTTTTTCACAATAACTATTTAGTCATGCGAGTAATATTATCTTTTGATATATAAAAAAAATAACAAGCTGCTGACGTGTGCAGACCACGTATCCCTCATTTTGCTACATTCAAATAGTGTGTATAACTGATCCTAATAGTGAAAAAAAATATTTTGCCATGTTATTTGATATGTGTTAGCGTTCTCTTTCTACTTGGGAAGTGCATTTTTGTAATTATGTATGTTTTGGTGATGGTTCATATTCTTTTCTCCATTTCATTTCTCTCTCCCCTACCTTATTTTACTCATGTCCAAGAAAAAATCATAAAAGCCCTAGAATATTTTTTTCACTTCAAATTTAATCTATGTTCTTTGAATTGTAATCTTTTTTTTTTATTTGGAAAAAAATTTCAATTATATCCTCCTTTAGTTTCTCATCTCTCTAATATATATATATATATATATATATATATAATAACATATTTAGTAAACTTAATCAATTTAAATACTGATTCTCAAATTTCTTTTACTTATATGGAGATTCTAATGCCACCTTAATTTTTTTCTCTATTTTAGGTTGGAAAATTTGTCCCGTAAAACAGACTCCCCCGTTCCCAGAGCGGGACAAAGAATTTCTAAAGAATTTCTTTTACCCAAGGTATTATGCTGATCACTTATATAAGTTTACTAAAGTTAGTTTTTTTTATTTTTATTTTTATTTTTACCTTTCAATATTTAATTAGTCATAATTAAGCTTTATATTTTGTTTTATTATAAATTTTATAGTTTTATTATTATCTCATATTCACATCACAGGTTTTGCGAAGTAATCATAATTGTTACGCGCTGTCTAAGTACTTTTTTTTTCCTCGAAAAATCATGTCGTGAAATGTGTCATTTAACAAGTATTTGATGTAGAATGAATCAAAATTTTGGGTTTGAGCATTGGCATCCCAAACCTGATTGTGGCAGCAGGGAACCAATCCACTAAAGAAATCGTGTCGGTTGAGTAAACTGGACTTTTTTAGAAAAACATGTCACCAGCTCTGGGTCCCATTGACAACGATGGCGCCCGAACCTAATAAGAGAAATCTCGTTCAAACGTAGCAGACTGGACAGGATATGTGACCCATGATGCCCTGGGCAAGTGGGTTCATGAGCCTTGTTTTGTGGTTGATGCAAAGAGACGGTGAGACACCTGGGCCAACCTTAGACCCATATTCAGTGAGTTGAACCCAAGGCAGCGGACACATGAGATTCTAATGAGTGAATTTCGACTACAGGGTGGCCATGACTTTTTTGACGAAAATGGAATGTCAAAACCAAGTTTCCCTGATCATTGGAGAGGGGAAAAAATGGTATTTACTCAGGCTTAGGTTTAGCAGATGCTTGGAATTCTATATCATTGGATAGTGACAAAGTTAACCTATCGTAAGGATCGATATTCGAGAGGACTCGGAATAACAGTGTCTAGAACACTGATGGTGGTTTTACTTTGACAAACTGCTTTAAAAACTAAGAAATCAAAAGTATTCTCGCAAAATGGTCACCATCTTTTAAAGCAGCGTGGTTTTCTCAGGATTTCAACACGACAAGAACCAAATTGGAGTTCCATTCCAAAGAAGGCACAAAAAATTAAAATGCTCTCTGCTCCAAGCATGGAGTACTTTTCTCTTCTCTTCCTCTTTTTTTTTGGATAAACAAAATTTTAAACAGAAAAAAATACATCAGGAGGCTAACCTTGCTACAGTGCAATGCACTGAACATCCTTGGATGGACTAATAATCTATAACCAAACAAATACAACTCAGGAATCTACAAACAGCCAACCCATGAACAAATTTGGTGAAAGGAAAAGAGGCATGTATATTTGGAATGTTCTCTATTACAGAAAGCTAAGCCCAATATAGTCCTAGCTCTCACTGTGAAACATGGCTTGCAACAGATCTGGTATTTACTCTAGCTACTCAACTAACATTCACACCCAATAGATGTACTTGTTGGGATAACTATACTCGTGTCCATTGGTGAATCAGTATTATTCACCACCAGCAGGATGCTCTTGAGCATCAAACACCCCCCTCTCATTCTCACCAACCAGTCCCACTGCCAGTGATGTTTGGCTCTGAGAATTACAGAGGTCAACAACTCATCTGTGTCAAAAAGATGTATCATTAGCTAAGCTGAACTAATCCCCTACCGAATTCAGTATAACAAAATCATAGGCATTCTCTATCCATATTCCATATCTATACTACTCCATACCAGTTAACTAATCATTTCCTCGCCAAGATAAGGAATAAATGATTCAGCATTGATGGACAATACTCGTATCTAACAGCTATTTTCTGGCATCTTTGTATTGTGTTTCATTATAATTTCTCTAGAAAGACTGATTTTCTAAGTTTCTTGCGTTCTCTTCAAATGGTGTACATAAATCTACTCCTTACCTCTGATTTTTTTTTTTTAAAGAAGGGAGGAGAGCATATCAACACATACAATACTTCCTGAAAATGATCTAATCAAGATAATACCTAAAAAGATTCACTCTCTTTTCTTGATCTGAGGAGAAAACCTTAATTATATAAATATCAGAGAAACATAAAACTGCCAAAGTCAGAATTAGCAAAACTCATTCGGTCAAAAATAATGAGTGCCCACTAACATATTATTAACATCAAACGCAAAAATTCTATCAAAGCCACAATCCAAAAACTACATAATGATACCAAAAATATCCCATCGATTCAAATTCCCACCAATCATCACTACTAAAATATAACAAGCAATGAAAACAAAGTGTAGATCAAGAAACAGGCGTACGCAATCAATCCACGGTGCTCCTCTCCACCATCAGCAACAGCAACCATCAAATTCGTGCAAGCCCTCGTAGCCCAAATCACGAAAACCCCAGCAATCCCAAACCTAATAGCCCCATTTTGCGGCACAAACAGCGAAACCGCCGATAAAATCACCACAGGCAACAAACAGTAACCAATCACACTCGTACACGTGTGCAGGTCTAAATTCCCATGTCTACCAGCCAACATATTGAACACAATGTATAAGAAAATCGAGGAAACGACAATCCATCCCAGTATCACGCCAAATTGGATTTTTCCGGCAAGTAATTGAAACAAGCAGAATGAGAGATACAAAAATATCGGGCCGGATAGATCCGAATCCTTGTGGAACGTCGGGTTCACCCGGAACGGATTTAAAATCGATTTAGTTTTCTTCCAAATTTGGTCTGGGTGGATCCCGAGTTCGACGAGGAGTGGTTCTTCGTCATCGAAGTTGGCTGCACCACCGAGAGGACCAGTTCCTACGCCGATTGTACCGGCCGTGTTCGTGGCAGCGGATCCGATTTCGAATGACATAAAAGGGATTCCGGAGTTTGATGGACGAGAAGGTTGGAATGGAGCAGTTGGTGCTCGGCGTTGCTGGATGTTTCCGCCAGTGGCGACAGTCGGGTTTCCGCCGGACGGGAAGACTACTGGTGGCACAGCGAATTCCCTCGACATGTTCGTTGATTTTGAAAGGAAATTAGGGTTTCTAGATCAGTGGATTAGGGATCTTGCTTTGGTCTTTTTACTTGGATCTTTGAAGGGTTTTCTTCTGTTATTTGTTTTTTTTTTTTTTTGGGAGAAATGAAACTTACCATGTAAGAAAAGGAGAGGGGTATATATTTTATTATTATTATTATTTTATAGTGATGATGTACATGAACAGAAGGCCAAGTTAAGATCATGTTTTGGGCTTTCGGCCCATTATGCCTGTTGTACTAAAAGACAGGCTTCAAAATTTCAGGTCACTCGTGCGTGATCGCGCCCCTTTGTTCCGACCACTGCAGCACGTGTGTCACCAAGAATATAAGCGGCGCGATGACTTGACATCATTTCATCCTCACCGTATTCCTACTTATCATTGATAGTCTGCTCTGGATTCTAAACTCCACTGCGGCAACTAGAAGCGTTACGGTGACAACCAAACATTTCAGGATTTAACCCAAGGCCTTACATCACAGATTAACGTCGGCAACCGTGCACCACCCGTGTCCAGGGAGGAAAATATGAAACTCGAATAGAATAAGGAAGAGCAGAACTTGTCCTCCGAAGGATTTCTTCCTTCCTAGCTGCTGGGGACACTGCCATCAACAACCATGTATAAAGCGTCACAAGGTCAAAGTCCCAATTTAAAAACTCGAAATGATAGAACAAGATCCTGGCATGAAATGATTTTGTATTATATTTTCTCAAGTGAAGGCCACATGCCAGCTCTTATCGTGTGCTTAGTATTTAAACTTTGTCATTAAATTTATGATATCATATCAAATAGTCATCTTCATTCAGAAACTTCAACTATTGGATGAGCCCCAATAATGTGTTTAGTACGTGCTGAAGTCCTTGTTATCTTTTATGCAGCAGCAGGGAATTAGCAAACAGGGAGAAGAAGGTGAAGGGAGAGAAGAAAACTTTACTCGATCCAAACAAGGGCAATGGTTTGGATATGGACGGCGATTACTCATGGACACAGAATCTGAAAGGGGTTAGTGTTTATGTGCGGGTTATTGATGGAAAATGTTTAAGTCTGCTTCTATGTGATTCACAGGAGAATCATCTGGTCAAAATATGAATAAAGGGTCTTCCTCCAGTTATTGATGGTGTTATTTCAACCTGTGGATAATTGGCAAATATGGTCTTGAAAAACAGTTCCAAAGAATTTCTCGAAACAAACCGGTCAGCCAGAAACATATGTCCATATATCCATCAGGTCTTCTTGCATGTGCCCTGCAGCGTATCGATCAGTTCGTTCCAATCATATCTTATCCCAGCTATTTATTAAGTTCTAATGGTATTTACTACCCCACCACCACCAGATATACACACAAAGTTAGCAGGTAGTACCCTGTTTGTGATTTAACGAAGAGGCATGCAATTTGGAACTTTCTTGCAGGGGGGATTTGACAGCAGTCCACAGCGTTGAACCCACCTCATGCCTTCCCTGTTGAAGGATACATATTTTTTTTTCGAATTTGAATTTAGTTGAAAAATCATCAGTGATTAGAAAAGATACTGGAGGATGAATATTCTGTGGAATCTGTAGAATGATAACAAAGGATGAACAATTGTGATGCAAGATTCTTACGTATTTCATATTTATGTGACCTTATGCTAGTTTCAAGGCCTAACCTGGGTTATGGGTTGGGCAAGTTTATCCTTGAGTAGACAGATTAATCTAGGCTATGATTTTTCAAAAAAAAAAAAAGTTTTGGTAAAAAAAATTATGATTTGCTGAATCGGATTGATTCTAGACTGGGTTCTATAACCTTATTAAAATTGTTATGATTTTGACTCGCTATCCTTATTATTAACTTGGTTATTTCATTAACCTGCAGTATCCTCAACCATGACAATTTCTCTCTTCAACGCCTATATATAACCATACATCAGAGGAACATGATGGTCATTCATATGTTTTAAAGTCACACGTATTAGGAAACAACTAAGAATTCCCATCTTAATGTATCTGGAGATGATAGTTTCTTACGAGGAAATAAGATGGTCAGCTTAGAATTTATAAGAACATGAGTCAATTTTTCTTGTAGTTTGAATCACTGTATACTAAAATGAGAGCTTGTAAGTACCATTAAGTTGTAAACAGGCTATCATTAAAAAGAAAGCATTGAAGACAAAGCATATGTCCAAATATACAAGTCATTTATAGAATATCATTAACATCTTTGTGCTGTCAAAAACAGCTTAAATATGCAGAGCTATTTAATAGAAATTGGAGAGTGATCCTAATAGGTTACAGTGCTGTTGTTCAGATCAGGGATGCACTATAAGTGAACAGACAAATCACAATCTCCACACTGAGATCAGGTATGCACAATTACAATTAGTGAACAGACAAATCACAATCTCCACACCGAAAAAACCAATAGCTTCGGTCCCCTTTTTCCTTGCAAATGTCGCAAGTGTACTCAACGTAATCTTCTTGCCGAACAAGAGACAACAGGTGCTGTCACTTTTGGAAGAGACAGTATTGGAAGCAAAACACAATTGAAATGAAGACCATAATTGCAGTCATAACATTTGTAGCTAGTAGATTGCCTAGTTTACCACAAGTACAGCATAGGTATTGGTAATTAAACCCATGTGACATGTGAATGAAATTTAGAGGGTGTTCATGCCATTTGTGGTGAAGAATTGCTGGCAGGAATCCACACTGGAGGTTGGTTTCGAGACGCAATCGTAACAGCTGGTAGAGAATTCATCACAATTGCTACATTTATGTGTATTTGAGAATTCATACTTGGGGCTAATTTCTCACAGATATTGAGGGCAGTTTTGTGCAGTAGCCTTTATTTGGTCAGGTGTCTCGGCACATGACTTGTGTAGGATGAATTCATCACACTCGTCACAGTGATAGTTTTGATCTGAAATGAATTTCAAGCAACGCTTGCATACAAGTTTATCCTTTCAAGGTTTTTCTGATAAGAATAAAGCGTGCAAATGGTCATTGATTGGGTTTTTTTTCTATCGCTCTCTTTCGGGACCTTTTCCTGTGAAGGAGAAGATTGAAGAAACACATTACCTGATGGGTAATCTTGAAGGTGCTCCGCGCTTTCCGTGAGGGGACGTGCCATGGAATGGTCACCAGATACGACTTTATCTAATGAAAATAATAACTGTGTCGACAGGGAGCTTCAGAATATCACCAGGAACACCATAACCAGCTCTTTGCGGAACCTGTGCATCACATCCGATGATGATCAAACAAGCCTTCCTCGAGTGAGCGAGCTACGCGAGCTGATCAAGGTAGGCACGATCGGAGAGTGTTGTGTTGATGATCACTGAGATCTGCCGATTGAGCTGGGCAGAAGCTACATGGTACAAAACTTCGAAAATTAACGTCCTGAAATGTTCATTTGAGACCTTGGTTCTGGATGAGGAGGTTGGATGGATGCTTTTAAGGGCTTTGGTTATATCATCTTCATCGATAAGAGGGTGTTTGTAGGAGTCAGCTAGTTCACGGGCGATTCCACTAGAGTTAGTAAGTGAAGGGCCTTGGTTGCTATGATTAATGGGGCATTTGGTAGCTTCATTTCTTGCTGTGCTTCTAGTATTTCAACGCCTTCATTTCACCTCTCTTATCACTTGAAAGTCTCTAACTGTGATAATTATGGAGGAGAATATTATTTTCCTAGTGAATGAATATTGAGGCAAAGAAATGACTATACTGAAAAGATCTAAAACCTGCCAAGTTGCTTGAATGAAAGCAAGAATCTCAATCGGGTACTGTGGAGAGCAAAATCTTGATTAATTTTTACAAAAACAAAAGGTGGGGAAAGAAAGAAAAAGAACTCTTAATGATTCAGTGGTAGATGGCAAAAGCCAATGGGCCAGGGCTTATCCTTCACAAATTAAACAAGCTATTTCAACAAGTTCTGATTTTCCATGCTTGCAATCAAGAAACAAGATGCATACCCTAATGGCATCGCAGAAAGTAAGCATCTTCAACATAGATTAAATTGAAGGCAATTCTTGTTTGCTTTATTCTTGAAAGAGAAGTTCTAAACTAAATGCAGCTCAGATTCATTGTAAAACAGAAGTAGATAGGTCTCTGTCACAAGAAAAGTACTGATCTTCAGTCTGCCTGATCTTAGATGGGATTCTTGTTTGCTTCAATTGAATTAAAAATTATCCATTAATATCAAAAAGCTGATTTGACTAGTACAGGCTTTTCCTCAAAATAAAATGCATGATAGGCAGCCCGCATCAGTCTCGAATGATAGAGGATCTGGTGAGGTGCGCCTTGTCTGTGAAGGTTTCATTTTCATACCTGGAATTGGAGAATTAGAGTAAACCAGTAATATGTTGCTTAGAATTCTCACACATAGAGATTGGAAATGTCCTGGAGGATGATTTTTAAAGTTTTTTTTTTAATTTAAAAATATATTAGAATAATAAATTTTTATTTTTTAAAATTTATTTTTAACATCAATATATTAAAATAATCTGAAAATATTAAAAAAATATTAATTTAAAATAAAAAAATAAAAATACTTTTTAAAACATAAAAATAAATATACTATAATTTTTTTAGTTTCAAAGAAGCAACTAAGAATATTTCAAGGTTGATGGGATTTTTAAGTGCTTTCAAGAGGGTTTCGTCTCTGTGTGCTTGCCACTAGTGTGCATCTCGATTCATTGTTTCAGATAATTGAAATTTTGAAATGAGACGTTGTCTTCTAATTTTTCCTTTATTAAAAGATATTTTTTTACCTAAAAACTATATGAAAAAAAAAAGGGACGAGAGGTTCGATTAACGTACAATTTAATCTAAAAATATTTTTTTCAATCGAATAAAAAAATATAGTTGTGATTCTTGTTCATTTGGCCTCTTGAAAAGTTTTTTACGATGCATTGCTGCTGAGTGGTTATATATATATATATATATATATATATATATATATATGGTTATTAAGAGTGGATATAGTTATTAAATCTGAAGAGGTTGAATGAGTTTATTTTAAAAATATAATATTTGGGTAATGTTTTCATATAAAATATTGATTTATAAAATTTTATTAACTTTAGTGATTTAATAATTATTCATATAAATATACTGATATTTAAAATATTTTTAATATAAAAATATTATTTTAAAATA